ACCCAGAGTGGTTTTGTGGGTGTTGGGGGGTCAGTGGGGCACTTTTGGAGGGGTTGGAAGGGTTTGGGGGTGCTGGGGACAGTTTGGGATCTCACCGGGGCAGTTTGAGGGGTATTGGGGGTTCCGGGGGCAGTTTGGGGGGGCTGGGAGCAGGGCAGTGCCCCCGGTGAGACCCCCAAACTGTCCCCAGCCCCCTTCACCTGCTCCTGGTTGCTCTGGGGGATTTCAGGGGTTCACAGATGATTTTTGGGAGGGGTCTCAAAGAGATTTTTGGGGGGTCCCAGCCGCCCCTCACTTCTTGTTTCTCTGGGGGTTCCCAGATGATTTTGGGGGGGTCCTAAAGGGGTTTTTGGGGGTCCCACCCCCCTCACCTGCTCCTTGTTGCTCTCCAGGGCCGGCAGCACCTCCTTGACCGTCCTCTCCACCAGGACCCCCCCGACCATGCGGAAGCACTTCCGAGTGGGATCCACCTCCCGCAGGGTCTCGATGACCAGACTGGGGGGACTGGGGAGTCAGGGGGGCTCAGGGACCACCCGAAAACCCTCCCAAGAACGACAACCCCCCCCCGACCCACCTGTGCTCGTTGAGCTCCAGCTCCAGCTCGGCCGCTTTGGAGGCCAAACCCCGCTGGTCCTGCCGGAGCCGGTTAAAGCGGGACACCACCTGCGACAGGGGGCACAGGGAGACCCCCGGGGGGTAAATCGGGGTGGGAACACTGGGATGGGGGTGGGATCCCACTGGCAGCACAGGGACACCCCTGGGGTGGGGATTGGGATGGGATCTCATTGGGAGCACAAGGAGACCCCCAGAATTGGGGTGGGGTCCCCTGGGATAGGGGACACCCCCACTGGGGGCACAGGTGACCCCTCACACCCCCATTCCCCTCTCATACCCCATTTTCTCCTCACATGCCCATTTTCCCCACACTCCCCTCACCTGTTCAGGGCTCAGCCCTTTCCCCGTTCCCGGATTCCCCCCCCGGCCCTTCCCGCTCTCCGCCATCTTGAGGCCCCGCCCCCTTTCCGGGACAGACCGGGGTAGGGGGCGTGGCTTCCTGCGCCGCCATCTTTGAGGCTGGCGGGTGAGGCCGGCATGGGCGCCGCCATGTTGGGTGAGGGCAGGGCCGTGGGGGGACTTTGTTCGCGGACCGGCCGGAGGGGAATGTGAGAGGTCGGGGGAGTGGGAGGGACTGGACGGGGTCACTGGGAACACTGCGAGGGACTAGGAGCACTGGGAGCATTGGAAGGGGTTACAGGGAGCACTGGGAAAGCGTTTGGGGGGCACTGTGAGGGAGGTTGGGGATTACTGGGAACACTGGGAGAGGGTTTGGAATTCACTGTGGGAGGGGTTACTGGAAGCACTGGGAGGGGGTTTGTGGGGCACTGGGAGCGCTGGGTGTGGGTTTGGGGGTCACAGGGAGGAGCTGGAAAGAGACTGGGAGATACTGGGAGGGGACTGGGAGTTCTTGGGAACACTGGGAGAGGCCTTGTGGGGTACTGGGAGCGCTGGGGGCAGTTTGGGGGGGTCTGGGGGCAGTTTGGGGTCACAGTTTGGGGGTTCTACCCCGCCATGCCATCCCTGTGCCCCCTCCCCACTTTGAGGTGTCCCCCCCAGGCTGAGGGCTGCCCCCCGGGCCCTGCTGTGCTGCCGCCCCCCAGGACCCCCCCCGAGACCCCCCAGAGCCCCCCAGAGCTCCGGGACTGCGGGCAGGTACTGGGGGGAACTCATGGGGTGACCCCGGGGGGGTGGGGGGTGACCCTGTCTCTGTGGGATGACCTGTGGGGTGATCTGGTCCTTGGAAGGTGCCCTGTGGGGTAACCCCTGTCTCCACAGGGTGACCCCCATCCCCAAGAGGTGATTCCAATCCCCACGAGGTGCCCAGTGAGATGGCCCCAATCCCCACGGGGTGACCCCTATCCCAACCCACAGCCCTCCCGCCATGTCGGTGCCCCCCCGGGCCATGGTGGCCGTGGCTCAGGTGACATCGACCCCCGACAAGGAGCACAACTGGCTGCAGTGCTCAGCGCTGGTGCGGCAGGCGGCGGGAAGGGGGGCCCGGCTCGTGTTCCTGCCCGAGGGCTTCGACTTCATCGGTACCGGCCCCGAGCAGAGCCTGCGCCTGGCGGAGCCCCTGCACGGCCCCACCCTGGGCAGGTACCAGCACCTGGCCAGGTATGGGGCTCCTGGGGGTGCTGGGGGTAACTGGAGCAACTGGGACAGCTGGGAGTATGTGGGGACAAGGGGACACAACTGGAACAGCTGGGAGTTGGTGAACAACAAGAATGGAGTCAGAGATAGGATTTGGGACAAAGACAGGGGTCAGGGATGGGACTAGGGGCAAAAACGGGAATGAGGACAGGGATGGGGACAAGGGCTGGGGGTCCCATGTTCGTGTTCCCAGGGAATGTGATGTGTGGCTCTCCCTTGGGGGCTTCCACGAGCGTGGCCACGACTGGGACACGACCGGCCGGATCTACAACTGCCACATCCTGCTGGACAACTCCGGTGGGACCCCCTGGAGCTCCACATTCCTGACATTCCTGACCCTCCCCACATCCCTCTGGCACCCCCTTTGTCCCCAGCACTGCCAACCCTCAGGATGTCCCCATGTCCACTCCGTGTCCCCCAGATACCCGATCCCCATGTCATTGACATTCCCAACCCTCCAGATGTTCCTGTACCCCCTTTTATCCCCAACATTCCCAACCCCTGGGATGTCCCTTTACCCTCAACACTTCCAACACTTGGCATGTCCCCACGTCTCCCTTTACCCCCAACATTCCCTGTCCCAGGTGCTGTGGTGGCCACGTACAGGAAGACCCACCTGTTTGACGTGGAGCTCCCCGGCAGCGTCTCCCTGCGGGAAAGCAGCTTCACCAACCCCGGCCCTGCCATTGTGCCCCCTGTGGATACCCCCGTGGGGAAGGTACAGCTCCCCACCCACCCCCAGGGAGGTCTCTGGGGGTCTCTCCACTCCGAGTGACCCCCCTCGTGTTCCCCAAAAAAGCTGGGCCTGGCCGTGTGTTACGACCTGCGGTTCCCAGAGCTGGCGCTGGCCCTGCGTGAGGCTGGGGCCCAAATCCTGGCCTACCCCTCGGCCTTCACCGTGCCCACCGGGGCTGCCCACTGGGAGGTGAGTGGGGACCCCCACCCTCCCGGTACCTCCCTGAGTGCCCCCTGTATCCCACTAGGTGAACAGCCTCCCATATTCCCCCAGTACCCTCCCTGTCCCCTGCCCCAAGTGCCCCCAAATCCTGCCAGGGTGAACCCCATGTCCTCCAAGGTGCCCTCTGTGCCCTTCCAGTGACCCCCCCAAATGTCCATGTCCCCTGCCTCAAGTGCCCCCCATATCCCCCCTGGTGAACCCCCCAATGTCCCCTCAGGTGCTGCTCTGTGCCCAGGGTACTGAGTGCCCACTGTATCCCCCCATATCCCCCCTTTCCTCTCCCACGGCCCACCCATGTCCCCTCAGATCCTTCTCCATGCCCAGGCCATCAAGTGCCCCCGGTATCCCCCATTTTCCCCCAAAATGACCCCTCTGGTGCCCCCCCAGGTCCTGCTCCGTGCCCGGGCCATCGAGTGCCAGTCGTACGTGGTGGCTGCGGCGCAGACCGGGCGGCACCATGAGGGCCGGGTATCCTTTGGCCACGCGCTGGTGGCCGACCCATGGGGCACCGTGGTGGCCCAGTGCCATGAGGGGCCCGGGCTCTGCTTCGCCGACATCGACCTGGAATTCCTGGAGCGCGTCCGCAGGGACATCCCGGTGCAGGGGCACCGCCGCAGGGACCTGTACGGCTGCCCGGGGGCACCGGCATCCTAAAGGCTGGACCTGAACCAAATCAACCCCAAATCTGCCCCAAATCAACCACCGGGACCTGTACGGCCGCCTGGGGACTCCACAACCCTAAAATCTGCATTGGAGCCAAATCAGCCCCAAATGTGCCCCAAGTCAGCTCCAGATCTCCTCTAAATCAGCCCCAAATCTGCCCCAAATCAGTCCATTTCTCCCCGAAACACAGCTCCACAACACGCTCAGTGCCACAGCACTGGGGTGTTCCCCCTCTTTTTGGGGTCTCCCCTTTCCTGGGGGTCACCCCCTTTTCGGAGTCACTTTTATGGCACCCCAGGGGTGACACCAACACCCTGAAATCCTTATTTTACCCCAATCTGCCCTAAATCAGCCCTTTCCCCCCCAAAATGAGGCAGCACAAGGCTCCCAACCCACCCCCAGGGCTGAAGCCACAGTGTTCCCCCTTTCTTTGTGGGGTCCACCCTCATTTTGGGGTACCCCCCCTCCCGAATTTGGGGTCCCAGGAGGGAAGAGGAGCCTCGAGGGGGGAATTTTGTTCTCCTGAGATTTTAAAAATACAAAAATCACAGTAAATGACACCAAAACGTGGCTGGATTGTTGGGGAGGGAGGAAGGGGTTTGGGGGGGCTGCTCTGAAACACCAAACTGGAGGGGTTATGGGGTGAACTCCTCAAGTGCTGATGAGAATTGGGGGGGAACTCACAAAATTAGAGGGGGGAAATAATTCAGAGATGTTTCGGGATGAAAATGGCCAATTTTGGGGGGTTAAATGGCCATTTTTTGACATTAAATGATGGTTTTTGGGGTGAATTGGCCATTTTTGAGGTATAATGGTTGTTTTGGGGGGTGAAAAAGGCCATTTTGGGGGAAAATGGTTATTTTTTGGTGTATAATGGGAATTTTTTGGGACAAATGGCCATTTTGAGGTGTGAAATGGCCATTTTTGGGGTGAAAAGGACTGATCTGGGGGGAAAGTGGCCTTTTTTTGTGGGAAAGACCATTTTTGGGGGGTTTAATGGCCATTTTTTTTGGTGAATCCTAAAAAACCCCCAGGGGAAGAAGGGAGTTTGGGTGGAAAAAGGGAAAATTTGTGGACAAACTGAGGGGGAATTGCCCCAAACCCCAGGACTTTGGCTTTTTTTGTTGGTTTTAGTGGATGGAAAAGAAAAGATCAAAGAAAGAGGGAAACCCCTTGGGAATCACAAGGAGAGGAAGGAGTTTGTCAGGAAAAGGGAGGGATTATGGAATATTCCACTGGATCTCCCACCCCAAACCCCACCGTGTCCCTCAAGTGCATCACCAGGATTTTTGCCTTTTTTGTTGTTGTTTTTAATGCATATAAAAGAAAATAGGGGGGAAACCATGGAAAACACAAAGAGAGGGAGGAACCAACAGGGCAAAAGTGAGGAATTCCAGAGTATTCCAATACTCCAGTGCTCCCTGCAGCTCCCACCCCCAAATCCCACCATGTTGCAGCAACAGGATTTTCGCCTATTTTTGCTGTTTTGAATGGATACAAAAGAAAATTGGGGGAAAAAACGTGGAAAACACCAGGAGGAGGAAGAACTGACAGGGCAAAAAGTGCGGAATTCCAGAATATTCCAGTGCCCCCCACACCTCCAACCCCCAAATCCCACTGTGTCCCTCAGGTGAACCAACGGGATTTTTACTTTTTTTGTTGTTGTTTTTACTGGTTACAAAAGAAAACATGGAAAAACATGGAAAACACAAGAAGAGGCAGGAGCTGACACAGGAAAAGTGAGGAATTGTGGAATATTCTAATATTCCAGTGCTCCCTGCAGTTCCAACCCCCAAATCCCACTGTGTCCCTCAGGCGAACCAAGGGGATTTTTGCCTTTTTTTTGCAGTTTTTAATGGATACAAAAGAAAACAGGGTGAGGAAGGAGGAAACATGGAAAACACAAGGAGGAGGAACAGACAGAGCAAAAAGTGCGGAATTCCAGAATATTCCAGCGCTCTCCCACACCTCCAACCCCCAAATCCCACCGGGAGGGGTTTTCACCTCCTCTTGGAAAACAACCCAAAAAAAACCTGAACGAGAAGAAGAAGAAAAAGAGGAGAAGGAAAAATCCATAGAACGAAACTCTGAGGGAGAAAATGGAGGGGGGGGGAAGGTGGGAGAAAAAGGTGGAGAAAAAGGAAAAAAGTCGGGAAAATAAAAGGTAGGGGAAAAAAGAGGAAAAAAACGGAGGGAAGAAGAAAAATAGGTGGGAAAACAAAAGAAGCGGGAAAAGGGGAGAAAAAAAGGTGGGAAAAAAAAAGGGAAAACAAGGGAAAAAGGAGAAAAAAAAGGGGGAGGGAAAAGGCAGAGGAAAAAAAAGAGGCAGGACCCCCCCCTCCTCCTCTCAGGGAGCCGTTTGGAGCATCAAGTTCCTCAGGAGTTTCTGGCGTCCCACCTCATAATCCTCCTCATCCACATTGACCAGCAGCTTGATGGCCTCGTGGCCCACGGCCTGTTTGAGCGAGTCCGTGATGAAGACGCCCTTGAGGGCCTCCAGCAGGGAGCCGTTGATGTAATCCCGCCAGAAGGCGTCCAGGTAGGTGAGCTCTGAGAACTTGATGTCACAGATGATGGAGCCCAGATCCCGGGATTTCAGGATGGTGTTGGCCTGGTTGAAGCGCTCGAACTGCCGCTCCAGGGGCTCCTGCTTGTTGGAGAAGACGTTGCCCTGCAGGGCGGAGTCGTGCTGGCAGTACTCGGCTCGCACCCGCAGGCGAATGTCTGCAGGGGAAAGGGGGACCCCAAAAATCAGGGGGGGGCTGAGGGTGGTAGTGGGACCCCTGGAGATGGTGCCCTGAAATCTGTATTTTTACCAAAATCAGGCTGTTTTTCCCCAAGTGCAACATGTTTTCAGTGCTTCAGCAACACTTTGTCCCCCGGGTTTTGGGGCCCCCTCTCTATTTGGAGATCTCCTCAATTCCCAAGCCCTTCCCCACCCCCTGGTCTGTTTTTCCTTGGGATCCAATCCCCAGTACCAGGTTTTCCCCCGCAACCCCAGATTCCAGGTCCCCCCAGTCCCAGGATTCCACCCCCCAACTCCATTCTCCCCACAAATCCCCTCACCACAGGTCTGTTTTTCCTTGGGATCCGGGGTCACCGACTTCCTCCTTTTCCGCTGGTTCCCGAGGAGGCTCCGGGCCCGGCCCGGGCGCTTCGGGCCCAGCTGGGGCCCCCCCGGGGGGCAGCACAGCGAAGGGTGGGGGGCAGGCACTGAGGGGGCACAAAGGGGGGTCAGGGGACTCCAAATATCCCCCTCCATTAGAGGGGAACCCCAAATCTCACCCTTCATTAGAGAGGATGCTCAAATCCTCACTTCCCATGGTCCCCATGTCCCATGGGATGAGGGGTGACCCCAAATGACACCCCAAAACCCAAAGGCCCCCCTGAGATCCAGGAACGGCCCCCACCCCCCAAACCTCTGACATCATCTGTGCAGTGCCAGGTGTGTCCCTGTATTCCCAGGGAATCCAGGGATAGAAAATTGGAACAATCCCCAGGAAACCCCCGAGGGGGACCCCAAATGCCCCCCGGCACCCACCTGATTTGGGGGGGTGCCCAAGCCCAGGCGGGGTCTCCCCAGGGGCGCGGGGGGTCACGTAGCGGATGGACGTCTCCTCCAGGTACTTGTCCACCAGGTCTGGGCACACTGGGAATAACAACAGGAATATGGTGGGAAAAACTCCATGGGGGGGCTGGGAACCCCCCTCATGGACAGCAGAGGGGAGGGCCTGGCCCGGGAAGGGATTGTCCAGGAGTGGATTGTCCAGGGATTGTCCAGGGACTGATTATCCAGGGATTGATCATCCAGGGATATATCCCAATATCCGGACTTGGAGTGTCACACACACAAACCCATTCCAATCCCACAGGAAAGGCTCCAGACGAGGCTCCACCACCGCCCTCACCAGCGCATCACCCAAGGGTGACCCCGGCCCCACATCGCAACATAGGGCTCCATCCTGTGACATGGGCCATGTCCCCATTTGTCACCTCCCAAAGGGTGACAGTTATGTCACAACATAGGCCACTCTCTCCCTGACACAGGCCCTGCCTATCGTGATATAGGCCAGCAGATCGCAACACTGACCCTGCATATGGTGACACAGGGTATTGTATTGCTGCAGCCCCACTCACCAGCGTGGCGCCCCTTCAACATGACACGTGGCAGTGATCCCACATATCGTGACACTGATCCCATATATTGTGACTGACCCCCTGTATCGCAACAGCCCCACTCACCCACACGCCACCTCTTGAGTACGACGTAGGGCAGCAGGTCGTGGCATTGAGCCCACATATCCCCATGTATCATGACTATGACCCCCTCTAATGAGACACCTGCCCCTATATCACGACACGAGCCGCCCTGTCGCGACAGCCCCACTCACCGGCGCGCCGCCTCTTGAGCGTGACGTAGGGCAGCAGGTCGTGGCGGGTGATGATGCGCAGCAGCTGCAGCAGCTGCCGCAGGTTGCTCTCGTCGCAGCGGCCCTGCCGCTCCAGTGCCAGCAGGAAGTCGCGGCCGCTGCGGATGCGGCCGCGCTCGGCCTCGTCCAGCACATCGACGAAGAGGAAGGAGAGCACGCGCACGTCGCGGTGCGTCAGGTGGGCGCCCACGATGTCGAACATGCGGTGCAGGCTGTACAGCCCCTGCTCCCGCTCCCCGCGCTCCTCCGGCCACGCCGATGGCCCCGCGCGCTTCCGGCCCGCCATGGGAGCCTGCGGACACCGGAACGCGGGATAGGAGCGGGCACGGAGCGGGGCGCAGATGGGGGGGACATGATTGGGGATGGGGGTTCGCTGGTTTGGGGGGGGAGAGTGATGGTGAGGGACTGGGGGTGGGGAGTGTGGGGACAGTGGTGGGGCAGCCCAGAATCCAGTCCTTCCCTGTGGATATGGGGGTAATGGACCATCCCAGAATCCACCTGGGAGAATCCCTTCCCTATGGATATGGAGTTAATGGATGACCCCAGAATCCAGCCCTTAATTCCCTTCCCTATGGATACACGGTTAATGGATCCACCAGGATGCAGCTCCTACTGGAGCTCCTGCTCCAGGAACCCAAATCCAGCCCCCCAGAGGGTTTTCTCCTTGGATACCGTTTCCAAAATAAAGATAAACATGGGATAACAACAGGAATCTCCCACCTATTCCCAATTCCCGGTGACGCAGGACTGGGCTGCAAATCCCCTTCCAAGGGGAAAATTCCTACTAAATCCCTGGGACAAAGAATCTGTCGCCACCTCCAGGTAGGGAAAAAATGGGAATCCCCCCAAATCCCTGGATTTTCCTCAAGGAACTGCTCCCTTGGGAGTGGAGGGAATGGGAAGATCTCCCAGAAAAAAGCTGAGGAGCAGCTGATCCCCAAATCCCTTGAAACTCCCATCCCCTCTGGAGCCTTCCCTTGGGAAGAGAATTCCCTCAGTGCTCCGGAGTCATTACAATAATTTTGAGAGAACGGGAAGAACAAGTTTTTGGAGCTTCCAAAACTTTCCCTGGATCTCTGACAGGATCCCTGTGGATATCAGGGAGATTTCCCACTTAATTCAGATAAAACCTTATGAAACTCCCAGAAAATTCCTGCCTGGATGTGGAATAAAAGGTACAAATCCCAGTTTGGGACTTTATTAGGTGAGTTTTCCCAGGGAAATGGACATGAGGGAGACTCCAAGGGAGCTTTTTGCTCCCAATTCCCACTGGGAATCCTGCCAGGTATGGGTTCCCTGCATCCCAGAATCTCGAGGCATCACACCTGAGGGACGGGAAACCTCAGAACACGATGGATTAACCAGGAAAAAATAGAACAATCCCCCATCGAAGGGAGATGCAAAAATCAGGATTCATCCTTCATTTTTCCTCTTTGGAGGAGATTTTCCAGGAGGTGGAGGGCCTGAAAAGCTCCTAAATCCAGCAGGAATTAAAAAAAAACCCGTTCCCAGCCCAAATAAATTGGATTCTCACGGATATCCCAGGGCTGGAAATGCCAGGGGAGGAGGAAGAAAGAGCTGCATCCTAGGACAAAACATCCATGAGGAAAACGAGCCACATGGAAAAACAATTCTCCCAGGGTGGAACTGGGGAATTTGGATCCATAGAACTAGCTGGGAAGGTGGAAATATGAATTTAAAGTTGGTTTCACTTCCATCCATCGCTCCAACTAATTCCTGGTGAATCCCAAACTTCGGTTCCAGCCACTGTGGGCCTTGATTTCCAAGGGATTCCCAATGGAGCCCCCAAAAAAACGACTCCCTGTGGATAATCCCAGGATGGCAAGAGGAGCAACAGCGCTTTCACAGTTTGGGAATGGTGTCTGGAACGCCACAAATCCCTGAATAAATCCCCAAGGCTGCCCTAGGGTGAGAATTCCCAAGACCTGCCCAGATCCAAGCCCTGGAAGGGGAGCCTTGGATTCCTCCAAATCCCCTTTTCCAGCAGCAAATCCACACTGTGTTGGGATTCCCAAAGCTTCCCAAAGTTTTTCCAGAGGAGGATAATCAGCCCAAAACACGATATCTGGCTCAAGCACAGGAGGATTAAAACAGGGAGAATCCATGAGGAGCCTCCCTGGATCCATCCTGAGCTTCTCCAAATCATCTCAACCCCTAGAAACATCGTGAACCCCCCTGGATCCATTCCAAGCTCCCCTGAATCGATCTCCACACCCCAAGGCCCACACAGGGAAGGACAAATCCCTAAAATAGTAGGAAAACCCCCCACATCGAGGAGCACCCACCTCACCCCAGAGCAATTCCAGCCGTCCCTCGATCCCAGGTCAGAGAAGGAATCCAACGAATCTTCAATCCAAGGAAGCTTCAATCCCCTTTTCTCCTTGTTTTCTTAAATAAACTCCACAAAAATCCCCTGCAGACGCTCCTAAAGTTCCACTTTCAAGCCAGAATTCCAGAGGCCGGGATCGATCAGTCCCTGGGCTGTTCCACTTGCCCGAAACCTCTTGATTCTTCCCCTCCCCCAAAAAACCCACCTACCCTTTTTTCTTTCCTAATTAATAATTTATCGAGGAAAAACCGAGTCCGGGATTCCCCTTAAGTCAGTCCTGTTTTCAGGGACACCATTCCCGAAGGATTTAATTCCCTTGTTCCCGGATTTAACACAGATTCGGGCAATTTTGAGTGAAAAAACCTCAATCAAAAAGTCAAAAAAAACCTCCTTTGAGCGAAGAAGCCCTTTAAATTTCATCCCATTCCTCCTCCCGCGCCGTTAATCCTGGTTTTTTGCCCTCGGGAAGAGCTGAAATCCCGGGAAAACCAGATTGGGAGCGGGAGCCACTCCTGTTAAAAAAGGAAAAATTAAAATAAAAACAAAACAAAACCAAAAAAATCAAACAAAACAACCAACTCAAAAAAAAAAAAAAAAAAAAAAAAAAAAAAAAAAAAAAAAAAAAAAAAAAAAAAAAAAAAAAAAAAAAAAAAAGCTCTGGCTCTGCCCCGCTTTCGGCTGAAATCAACCCAAAATTACAGCAAAAAAGTACCAAAATGGGGAGGGCGGGGGGAGGTCAGGGGGGTCCTCCCGTTAAAGCCTCGGGAGGCCCCGGTTCTCCCCCAAAAGGCCCCGGGGAGGGGCCGTTTCACCCAAAAAAACCCGGTTCTTCCCCAAACGAACCCGCGAAGGCTCTGGTTCTCCCCAAAACGGCCCCGGTGAGGGCTCGATTCTCCCCAGAAAGGCCCCGGGGAGCGCCCGGTTGAGCCCCGGGAAGGCTCCGCGGAAGCCCCGGGGAGGCTCCGGCGGCCTCAGCGGCCCGCGGAGCGGCGCAGAGGGAGCGGTGGGGCCCCCCCTACGGCCCGGTCGAGCCCGCCATGCCCGGGGGCCCCTCCGGCCCCTCACGGCCCCTCAGGGCCGGCCCAGCCCCGGCGCCGCCATCTTGGCCCCGGCCCGCTCCGCTCCCCGCTCGCGGGCGGCTCCGTCGTGACGCCTCATCCGGCGACGAAGCCGCGCCCACGCCCGGGCGGTGGCTTCACCCCTATGGAAAACCACGGGAAAGCGGCGCCATTTTGAGTGAGGGCAAACGGGAGGGCACATCCGACCTACGCCTTGGCGGCTTCAGCGCTATTGATTAACATGGGGGAGACGCCGCCATGTTGGGTAAAGGCAAGCGGGCAAGGCGGTCACGCCCTTGGGACACGTGATGGCGGCGCGGGTGCCATCTTGGAGAAGGGCAGGCGGG